CCCCCCCCCCCCCAACTCCCCAAGTACATTGCTACTTTGGGGGTCCTGCCTCTGAGTCCCAGAGAGTAAAGTGCACCCTGAGTCTGCCCACTGGCTGCAGAGTGCTTGGAACAGTACTCCCCAGAGCAGGACACGGCTTTCTAGAGGCGTTGCAGGTATGGGACAGCCCAAGTCCCCAGCTCCCATTCACTGATGTGGACCCAAACCTACAGCACGTTGCTACAGCTCAGGGCCTCCCAGGCACAGAGAACAGGCTGCCTGCAGCCCTCAGCCTGGGCCAGTCCTAACCCCGCTGCAGTCAGGAAAGAGCTTGTGCTGGTTGGAGCCAAGCCAAGGAGCCAAAGGCAGCAACATGTGCACATCCAGCAGGAGCCAGGTGCTGTCTAACCTGAACTTGTGACAGGACCTAAGAACTGGTACATTTCTCTCCATGTGAGGCTGTGATGACTTTGGCATCTGGCTGTCAGTCTCTATGCACTTCGCTAGATGCACTTGGCTTTTCCCTCATAGGTATCGGAAGATGAAGGAGCGCCTGGGGCTGACAGAAATCCGGAAACAGGCAAACAGGATGAGCTTTGGAGAGGTGAGCTGCTCTTGCTGCACACAGCCCTGCTTGACACGCGGACTCCGTGGCTCAGGGATGCAAGTAGGGTCTGGTGGGTTTCGAGCAGGGGGCTGGGAGCCAGGACTCCTTGGTTGCATCTTAGTTTTACTTTTGGTTTTTACTGTATTCAGGCCCCTGTCTGTAAGTCCATCTGGAGGCTCTTTCTGGGAGAATCCTTGGATAAGCACCCTGTATAGGAATAGCTCCATGTTGTAACTATTTTCAGAGGCATGGGTCAGGTCTCCTGGGTGCTTTCCCAGCAGAGATCTGTTAATGAGGCACATGGGAAGAATGTGCCCCTCAACCATTGAGGTTTTGTCATTCCAGCCCTGTGGATCTGCAGTGCTGGCAGCAAAGGAATGCTGGGGCTGGAGGTGTTCAGGGGTGGGGGTAACTGTGTCTGTCTGTTCCCCTAGGACAGAGCTTCTTAGTTGTCTTGCTCCCTTGGGAGCTGCAGGGTGAGGAGCTGCAGAGCTGTGTAATATTCAGGTTTATCAGGTTGGCTTCTCAGTACAGCTAATTAGCCTTTCCCAGTTGTTCCATGGGTTGTAGGTGCCTGGTTTTGGGCTCCCCAGCTTGCAGAAGCATTACTGAATTGGCTGCTCTTGGCAGAGGTGTGAGACGCAGGGATGGAGGCATGCTTTGTGCTGTGGTTTTAAACTGTACTAAGTTGGGCTCTAGGCCTGTCCTGTCTCCATCCCATCAGTACCAAACCCACCAATGTACTTGTGTTCCAAGTAATACAGTGCTACACTGGGGACCCTCTGCCCCTTCGCATCCAGGAGGTGGAGACCCTGGGAGTGCTGAATAGCAGAGATGTGGGAATATTTTTGAGATGACGGAGTGGGGGAATTGGCTGGACAACCTTCCTCCATATCTGCTGTGTCCACCCACAGCACCTCCGTGATCCCCCAGTTGAGAGCTGCTTCCCTGAGGGGCTGTGGCAGCACACCCATCAGCAGGGCACTTATACCATCAATCTAGCAGCAAGCTGGATGTCTCCTGGGGGCTGCGTGGGCTCTGTGATGGGAGGCTTTACCCCAGGCCCTGAAGATACTCTGCTGCATACATTCCCTCATTCATCCGTCTTTGAAATGCTTCCTTTCCAGATTGAGGAAGATGCCTACCAAGAGGACCTGGGCTTCAGCCTGGGCCACCTGGGCAAGTCAGGTAGTGGCCGGGTGCGGCAGACGCAAGTCAACGAGGCCACCAAAGCCCGGATATCAAAGACCTTGCAGGTATGGGGGAAGGGCTCAGCATTCTGTGTTCAGGCCAAGGCACTGGATCCACCATAGACCTGGGCTGGGAGGTGGGTCTGGAGCAGATAGGGCCTTGCCCCTCACTCTGCTATGGCATGGGCACAGCCAGTTCTGGGCCTATTCTGGTCCTAACATCAGAGCATGGAGTGCCCCTTCCACACCCCCCACTCTCACAGGGGGAAGGATGCCTATAGACCCAGCACATGTGCTCTGCCCTTGAAGTGATTTCCATCTGAGTGCCAGATGAGCAAACCCATGTTACGTCCAGGAGAAGGCATGTTAAGTTCTCATTCTCAGCAGAGAAGCAGCATGCCTGCACTATACCTCCCCTCCCTCACCTGGTGTGCTGGGGGGGGGGGGGGGG